TTTTCCAAATTTGAAAAACCTGCTTTACCCATAAACTCTGATTTCCTCATTATTAAAAGAAATACTTAAAAAGTTAAGTTTTCCCTTTTCCAATGTATTGATAATCAAGTCAGATGATGTATAGAAATTCTGTAACACCAATAAAGGAGAGAAGAGAAATGACAGATAAATCATATTCTATAAATGGAAAAGACAGGAAAGTTAGGATATATTAGAATCAGTAAGAAAACTAAGACAAGTCAATCACTAAGAACCATGTACATATTCTCAGAATGTGAATCTTTGAAAAGGGAAAGCCTCTAAATCTTTTAAAGGAAATGAAATAAGCATCAATTTTATAGGTATAAATAGCTTAGGAGTAACAATAAACCATAAGATCACTTGTTAAAGATGTATTACAATTTAAAATTTCCATGTTGAAAACTGAAACAGACAAATATCAAAGCAAGTCTTAAAAGATTTTTAAATTCCCTCATATTCTAGAGATTACAGATGCTTCATGCTTGCTTCAAATCATGATTTACATATTACAAATATGTTACTGATTTACATATTTTTATATGCAGAAAAAATGGAGAGCATAGGAAGCCCAAAAAATCCTACCTGATCAAGATTTTAAGAAAACTAATTAACTTAGAACTTCCTCCTCACTCCCTCCCCCAATTACAGAAATTATTAAAAAATGAAAGGTCTTGCCTGGATGGCTCAGTTGGTTTGAATGTCGTCCCATGCACCAAAAGATTGTGGGTTCAATTCCTGATCAGGGCACATACCCAGGTTGTGGTTTTGATCCCTGATCGGGGCATGAAGGGGAGGCAACAGATCTATGTTTCTCTGTCACATCAATATCTCCCCCCCCCCCATTCCTTCTTCTCTCTAAAATCAATAGATATATCCTCAGGTGAGGATCTATATATATAAAAGCCTACTATGCAAAGTGTCCCCTTGGGAGTTCAACACCAGGGGGTGGCACGGAACAAAGGAAGGACCCGGCAGGCAGCCGGCAGCCAGGGAAGCGAGGCCCTGGCTGGCAGTAGGCAGCCGCTAGGGACCCTACCCGTACACAAATTTCGTGCACTGGGCCTCTAGTTAAAAAATAAAAAAGAAAATAGAGTTTTAAACTAGATAATATTGTATCATTGGTAATTCCCTGATTTTCATCATTGTGCTGTGGTTATGTAAGAGAATTTCTTAGTAGTTCGGTAAAGAACTCTAAAGTATTTAAGGAGCAACATGTCTATAACACTCAGTTTTCTGAGCTGTTCAAAATAATAACTATACATTTTTCAAAGAGTAAAGGATAAAGCAAATATGGTAAAATGTTAATATTTGGGGAACCTGGATAAAAGGTACATGGAACTCTGCACTATTCCTGTAACTTTTCCTGAGCCTAAAATTATAGCAAAATAAAAAGTTAAAAGGAAAAGGAAGCTTAACCCTTTTGAAGCCTGAGGTAAAAATAACTGCCTCAAGTCTCTTTAGGTTCATAGTCTTGCCTTTTGGAAGTACTGATAAAGTAAAGCTCTTCATGCATACCTCGCTTAGCAAGAAATTAACACTGAATTGTATCTATAATCCAAGACAAAATTGTCACTTTTAAGTCTTTTTTTTTTTTTTTTTGCTTCAGATAGGGGGACAAAAGGGTGGGGTGGAATGAACAGATAAACGTTAGCATCTTAGCTCTTGATTTTAGAAGACTTTCTATTAAAGAGTCAAATCATGGCTGAGTCTTTACAAAGTTAAAAAGCTGGTAGATATTTTTGCCATTTTTTTCCTTTCCATTAAAAGGGTAGTTAGATTGGTTTACGACTATTGATTCCATATGGTAAAGTTGGCAAATAATTTTCTTCCCTCTAAGAAGTTGGACAAAAAAATCTATAGAAACTTAGTGCTAAAATCCAGTAGGTATGAATCATTCACATTTTGGAATAAAGAAAAAAGAAAATCAAAAGGCTACAGCTTATGAATTATTCTAACTTGTACAAAGCTACATCTGGGAAAATATCAGCATAAAAGCAAAAATATAGGTAATAAGACTGCTAAGAAAATTTATGAATTATCTTTTCATGTGAAATTGTATATCAGTATTAATATGATGGTCTGCATGAAATAATTCCATTCTAAGCTTATGACCCATCAATTTTTTAAAAGCTTTTTTTTAGCCCTGACTGGTTTGGCTCAGTGGATAGAGCGTCAGCCTGCGGACTCAAGGGTTCCAGGTTCGATTCCAGTCAAGGGCATGTACTTTGGTTGCGGGCACATCCCCAGTGGGGAGTGTGCAGGAGGCAGCTGATCAATGTTTCTCTCTCATTGCTGTTTCTGACTCTATACCTCTCCCTTCCTCTCTCGAAAAAAATCAATAAAATTTATATATAAAAAAAGTGGGTTTTTTTATTTCCTTAAGTTTTATCACTATGGGAGGGAGTCAAAACGAACATTTTCTTACTGAACTCTATATTCAAGAGGAAAGAGCTCTTATTTATCTAAATATAAAAAAGAATTTATTATTGCCTAGTTCATTCTGAGACATTTTGTTGGAAACGTCATCTTTATATCTATATATAGATAACCTTAAAATACTGATGTTTACAAAAACATTAATTATGAGAAACATTCTAAAAGTTTAACTAGTGGAGGGTAGGCTAAATCAACAAAATGCAATACTGTGTAAACGCTAAAATTATATTTTATTTAAGGTGACTATAAAACTAAGGGGGAAATGAGTTAAAAATATGATATCCTTGCTGAAAAATTAAAAAAGGTTTACATATAAACACACTTAGAAAAAGTTGGAAGGATATATATATACCATGCCAAATACTAATCTCTAAGTGATAGAAATGCAGGTGATTTTGACTTTTTCTTTGTTTCTATATATTTCTTAAATTGTCTGGATAACAGCATGTGTTATTTTTATGGTTATAATAAGCAAAGTTAGTTCAATTTTTGAAAAAACAGATACAAGTTAAATTTAAAGGGGGCTGGCTGAATAATACAGCACAGATCTGGATAACAAAATTGCATTGAGACATGAGAGCCTCAAGGTAAGGCAGGTTCCCCAGCTTCTGATTTAATCACAGCAGTTCTCTTTTACCCCTTTCACATATTAGGTTTTCCAATATTTTGGTTGTCAACAGGGTACCTTGTTTAAAAAATAAATTAAAAACGCTAAACAGAGGAATATTCATTTATATAAAATGTTTTCTGTAAGTTATTAGCTAAGTAGGCAACTAACAAAACTTTACATACTGTGATCCTTTAAAACAAATTAAAATTTTATGAGGATTTTAAATTTTTGTTTAGATCATCTGCTTCTAGTATTTCTTAAACAGGTACGTTTTTTAAAATAAAACATTAATCTTATTTCTTAACCTCACAAAGGCATAGATCTAATTATATACTATCAGGAAAAAGGGGGTATTTTAATTAAAAGCAACACTATCTAACATTTTCTAAAGAAACCTTCAACAAATAAGTCAGTTTATGAATAAGACATAAAATAAGTAATGTAATATTAAAATAAACTACGTGGTTTCTTGGGGGGAAAAGACTCAATCCCTAAAATTCTAATGCCATTGTGTCTATGTTAAAATAGTTAATCATGCAAAAGTACTTTTATATTCAACATGCATGAAATACGTAGGTAAGCGATTTTAGAGCTGAACACAGCCCTGTCCAGCACTAAGTATTTTAAAACACAATAAGCAGTTCACCATATTGTCTCAAACTTCTTAAAATTACCTAACCAGCTGAATCTCTCAAATGCCACTTATTAGCTTCCACAATAAATTAAACCATAGTGAAAATGCTTTACTGAGGGAAATTACACCATTTTTCATTATACCTGCCATTTTATAAACTACTTTTTTTTGTCAACAGAGAAAAAAATATGACAGACTGCTTATATGGTTTTTGCCTCTGTCATACACTGTTTTCTCCTTGATGGTTAAAAAAGCTAGACTAGCTCTTGCTAGCATGGCTCAATGGTTAGAGTGAAGGCCTGTGAACCGAAGGGTCGTGGTTTGGATTCCTGGTCAGGGGCATATACCTGGGTTGCAGGTTCAATCCCCAGCCTCAGTCGTACAGGAAGCAACCAATCAATGTGTCTCTCTCACATCAGTGTCTCCCCCATCCTCTCTCTCTCTCCCTCTCAAAAAAAAAAAGTCAATGAAAAAAATACAACTCAGGTGAGGATTAACAACAACAGGAATCAATGAACAATTCAAAATTATACCAAAAGTAAGTTTCAAGTTTCTCCATTTAGTTGTTACTGTCAGACTATATCTTTCAGGTACCTTTTAAAAGTTTAACAAAAATGAATTACTTCTTTGAGAGGTGCTATAGCTAAATTTATACTTTTATAGAATATTAGCCAGGATACACATATTGAAAAATATATCAAAGGCAACAAAAGACACTCAGCTATTGACTAAACAAATCCTACTACCACCATTACCCTCTCCTCTGGCCTTCCCTATACCACAGTGTTCAAGAAAACAGTACTAGGAGAGTTCTTTGCTGTTGTTTGGGGCTAGATTAAGATCAGAAAGCTAAAATTAAGAAAAAGCCTTTCCTAATCACTGTACTTCAGGATTCCCAAACTAGGAAATGTAGCCTGGCTATGAGTTGGTTGTAACTATAAACCCTATGTAATAAAAATAAATAAATTTATACTTTCTCCCTTTGAACCATTTTCTATTATTTTTAATTCCAAGGCCATCATTTCTTACAACTTGGTAAACTTTTTAAAGCTTACAAAAAAAACACACAAAAAAACACTACCTTGAAATCTTTCCTTAATTCTTATCCAGTATTTAAGATGATTTTTTCACTTGACCAATAATACATCCTAAATTATATTCAAATAAATTTCAATTATATAACAAAATTAAAGTTAGTTGCCCCCTTTATGAAATAAAAAATGTACACCCAAACAAAAAACAAAATTTAAGATTTTTGTCTCAAAGATTGGTACATAAAAATTATAATAGAATCTGCACTTTTCACCCCTTTCTTCCCCTTTCGTTCCTTCTTGTACTGTTCCTTCACTTTACTTATTAGTCCCTGGTCTACATCCCAAACCTCAGTAGTTGGGGAGAGGTCATCTTTATCTACATTCAGCATATTATTAAAAGAAAAAAAATCAGCAATTGGCAATGCAAGGTGTTGGCATAAACTCATATAGCTTTACATAATCATAATAAAAATGTACTAACTGCATATACTCAAAATACTTCAAAGGTGCAGTCTCAGTTTTGGTATTTACACCTCAAACTCTAAATGCCCATCTGACAAATTTCTAAACATGTAATACTAATAACAGTTAAATGGTGTTTCATTTCTATGAATCACAAATTTGAAGGTTATTCTTTCAATAACTGATGTTCTTTCAATGGACTGATACTAGAAATCTAGTGTTATAAAAAATAAATCACTGTATCTTTGTAAAAATGTTAATTTAGTCAGCATCATAAAAGCACATGAATGAATACATGCAAATTACTCAAAAGTGCAAGCTGGAATGGTCAGTGCTGTTTTATCGATGAAAATATTCATGCATCTTCTGTCATACTGATTCTGCATGCAGAGGGTAACTGTACCAATGGAGAAGCATTCTAGTCCAATAAATACATAAATATAGTTCCAAATTACAGTCTCAAATAATCCCTACAAAGCATTTAGAGAATCACCACCTCTGCCCCACCCCACCCGACCCACATGGTTCAACATCTCATTACCTTCTTCCATTGGTCTACAACTAACATTAGCAAATAACCCTCAAGTTCCACTGAAGAATTTCTATAGAGGTGATTAAAAAAAATTTTTTTTTTTTAATGATAAACCTAGAGGCCCAGTGCACAAAAATTTGTGCACTCAGGGCGGGGGATGGAGGGGGTCCCTCAGCCCAGCCTGTGCCCTCTCCCAGTCTGGGACCCCTCAGGGGATGACCACCTGCTGGCTTAGGCCCACTCCCCAGGGGATTGGGCCTAAGATGGCAATCAGACATACCTCTGGCAGCCCGGCAGCCCTCGGGGGATGTCCACTTGCCAGCGGGGAGCAGACCTAAGCTGCAGTCAGACATCCTTAGAGCTGCTGAGGAGGCAGGAGAGGCTCCCACCACCACTGCTGTACTGGCAGCCATCAGCCTGGCTTGTGGCTGAGCAGAACTCCCCCA